CCCCTATGAGCCCCCAAATCACCCAGAGGCGACGCTGCCGGCCACCGACGCCGCCGGCCGCACCCACCAACCCCAACAGCATGCCGCCAACCTCATGGCCCTGCTGCAAGAAAGAGGCATCCTGTGCTCGGACGCGGCGCCGCGGGCGCTGGCCGCGGGCGGCAACGGGCGGGGCGGCGGCGATGGGTGCGGGGATGGTGGGGGATGAGGGCGGCATCAGTGTAAAACAACCACAACAAACCGTGATGGGAAGTGAGCGACAGCCTTGGCATGCATGTTGTCCAGGGAGAAGCATGGGCTGGGACCAGTGCTTGGGCGCTGAAGTACATACAAGGCGCGGCTCATACCGCTTCGAGGGTCATTCAACAGGCAAATGCCCGCCTGCCTTGCGGCGTTTGCTGCTGTGCGTGTGTACAAGGAGAAGAAGGAACTTGGCAGCCCATGTGGGTGCCGGCTGCTCAGCGGCTGTCCCCCGGTGCTTTGCCCACCCGCCGGCCAGGTGGCGCCTGAGTCCCGGCGTGCGACGCGTGGCTGAGTCAGCATCTTGCGGCTGTGCGTTCCTCATTATTGAGTCATGAGAGTGTTTGTTTGTGTGCGCGTGTGTGTGTGTTACTGTTTTACCATCACTGAAAAGCTTGTCTGCAGCACAGTTAGTGCATGGGAAAGTATCAGCACACCTCCAGCATTGTCGCACGCATGCAGGCGGCTGCGCAGACGGTTGTGCGGCTGTAAACATACAATTGCCCACGCGTGGTGCACACGCGAGTCTTTAAAATGCGATGCAGAGCAGCACATTGTTGCTATTGCATGTGACAGGGGTCAGCGAATCGAGCCATTGAGTGTTGGTTTGAAGGCAATCGCCGGTAGCGCCGACGTCGGCGGGGTTGCTGCTTGTCCAACCATTGCAGTTGCTGCTGCGCGCGCTGCCATCGGAGTTGCTGCCGGAGTACCAAAGGCCGCCGGCCACTCCCGCGTCATTGAGCGTGACCCGGATGCTGCCGCCCAGCAGCTGCGTCCAGTTTCCAGCAACGACGACGCTGCCGGGCGACTCGATGGGCAGGTTGATAGGGACCCCATACTTTGCGGGGAAGCCTGTGATTGCATCAGATGCGTCGACGGACACGAACGCGCGTGCCTGCAGCAGCCCCGAAGGCCGCGTGGTGGCCGCCTGGCACAAGGTGTCGCCGGCGGCCCGGCCGCCAAACGCCCCTGTCGTACGGGTTTGGTAGGAGTAGGGGACGACGCGCTTCCGAAGGTACAGCGCCGCGGCAACGCTGCCCAGTGTGGCGGCGTCGATCGCGTCCGTCTTTTTGAAGTAGAGGCCGAGGTCGATCGCCGCCACCGTCGTGTTGAGGGTGGCGACGCTGGCGCCGAGCGTCGCGACGGCGGCGGCCCGCTGCACCTCCGCGGACGCGAGCGACGCCACAGAGGCGTTGACTGCCGCGATCGCCGCCGCGTTGGCGGCCCCCGCCGTGGTGCCAGCAGAGGCGGTGGCGTTCAGGGCAGACAGCTCCTGGGTGCAGTGGCACTGCTGCGAATCGACCTTGAGCGCGGCGATGTCCTGGCCGAAAGTTTGGTTGGCCGCCACCAACGAGGCGAGCTGCTTGGCCGTCGCCTGGTCCGCCGCGAGCAGCGCCGCGGCCTGCTGTGCAAACGCCGCCCGACCGTCTGGTTAAGCGTTGCCGTCAGCTGCCGCACCGTGCTGTTGAACGCTGCCACCGTTGCCTCGAGCGCGTTGGCTTTGGCCTGCAGCGCGGCCGCCTGCTGGCTGCTCTGCGACAGCGCGGTCTGGACTGAGCCGCTCTGGTTCGCGGCGGCGGCGACCTTTGACTCCAGGGCCGTCAGGCCGCTGGTTACGTTGGTCAGCTGGACGGCTGTCGCGAGGCCGCAGCCTAGAACCTAAACCCTAAACCCTAAACCCTACTGTATACAGACACGAGAAAGCAACGCTCAAAGGCTTCGTGTGCACATGATTTATCTGCGTCTTGAGGGGGTCCTGGCGGGCGAGCCCCGAAAAGGCGCGGCAAGGCCGAGCCCCAGCAGTGTTGCGCCACGTGAAGGGGGCATCGCGCTAGTACTAGTACCTTAGTAAGGAAGGAAAACCGTGGCCCAGCCAAGATACTGCTGCCGCGGTTGTCGTTTTGGAAGGAAACCCTTTCCTTTTGATGCCCATCCTGCCGCGCAGCGGCGCGTGGTCGGCGCTGTTTGTTCGAGCGCGGGCAGCGCTGAGGCTCCCACCTCTGCCGGTGGAAGCCTTCAGGTGAGCAAGGTCCCGGGTGCGCACCACCATTATCCGCGTGTCCAATCGCTCAGTCGCGCCGATGCTAATGCCTACAGCACGCGCGTGCGCGTTCGTGTGCCTGGGGTTTGGAAACGCTCCCAATCCGCTCTGCCGAACGGGAGTGTCAGCTTCAAGCTTCGGGGTTCAAGTCAAACCCCGAAGCACGAATTGCCGCCCGCGCCTGCAGCAGGCACAGCATGCGCCGCGCCGCGCCGCGCCGGTGTTCCATCTTGCACCCGCGCCCTGCCCTGCCACATTTCAGCTGACGTGCCCCTCGCGTGTCCATCCCTGTCATGACGCGTTCAAAAACGCGCTGCGTGCGCGTTCTGGGCGGGGTTTGCCGCCCTTCTTGAGCCCTTCAGACTGCATTTCTTTGTGAGACTTACTCCCTGTGCAGGTTTCCTGCGTGACCGGACTGATGAAGTCATCAGATGCCCTTGTTCTCATCAGCAGCTGTGTCGTTGCAGCTCACGATCAGTGCAGTAAGCTACCATAGTGGTTACATAGATTGGGCGTCGTAGCGCAAACAGCCACAGCGCGGACTTCGACCTGGTGCAAACGGCAGGGCAACCCAGGGTGCAAGGTGCACAGAGCTGCGGTCCAGAAGGGGGGCGGGGGCGTCCTCAGGAGCCAGAGCAAGACAGGGTCAATCAACGGCGCCTCCGATGCAACGGTGACACATCCAATGCGTCAGCCGCCCTCGCGCAACAGCTGCGTCGCCGCCTCACGACCGCGCGGAGCGGCGTTAGTTGGTTGCGGCGCAGGGGGGCGCGCGCTGCTCCGTCCCCGCACGCGGGGACCCAGGGGGATGGGGTGGCGGCGGATGGCTGGGCGGCGACGAGCCCAGCGAGTGATGCGTGTGTGTATAGAGGTGGGGGGCGCTGCGGGGGGCCCAGCATCCCCGCAGCCAGGCCAAGGAAGACAACGTGTAGCGCACATGTGCATCGGGCAGAGCCCACCGCCATGCAGCAGCGGGGCGGGACCGGGACAAAGGAGGGGGAGGCAGCCGGCGCCGCGGCTCGGGGAGGCAGGGAGGGGCGGAAGGCGGCGCGGCTGCGCGCGGCCCTGGATTCCTTGTTGTCGCGCCGCGCGGGGCTGCGGCGGGGGCGGGCCATGCATTGACAAAGACGCGCACGCGCCGGAGGAAGCTTTTAAACAGCTGGGGTGGTGCAGCCAGCCGGCAGTGCGATCGCTGATGGACCCAAAACGGGTCCCCAACCGCGCGGCCGGCGGGCGCCGCGCCCTTGCGTGCCAGGCATGCATTGCGCGGCGCAGAGCGGCGCGCCGGCGTCCAATCTTGTGTGGGCGAGGAGCAGCTAGGTTGGGGCCACCCGGCCAGGAGAACAGCAGAATGAGTCAAATGGAGCGCCAACCACGCACATTGCAAATGCGAAGGAGCACCATGGCGAGTGCGCGCTGTTGATGCTTGACAAAGGCGAGCAAGATTAACGCCACCAAGCCCATACAAAGTCAGCTGGAAGGGCGGGGGTCGCTCGTGGCCATCCCCGACAAATCAACCCAACTCATTCGCCAACGGGCCGCTGCGGCGTTGCGCGTAGGGCACCGCCGCTCGTCAGTTTTGAAGGAGAACCCCTTAGTAGTGGGCGTGCAGCCCCCCCCGTCGACGGCGCACTCTCGCGGCGCCGCGCAAAGTGCAGACGTGAAAAGCATGCTGTTAGCCCGCGCCCAAACGCGGGAGCGGGCCCACAAAACGAAACCAGACCCCATGCCCACAACTGTGCACAGCAGCAGTACCAGCAACAGCAGTAGTGGCGGCATCAGTGGCAGCGGTAGCAGCAGGCGAAGCAGTAAGTAGTAGCGGCAGCAATAGCTGCAGAGGTAGAAGCAGCAGCAGCAGCGGCAGGAGAAGCAGCAGTACTCGTAGTGCCACTTCCCCAGGGTCAGTGCGGCACAAACAGAAAACGCAGTCATACCAGAATCAATTTCAGCGCCAGCGCCCATGCGTGCGGCTGCACGCCGCAGACTTGGTCCGCCCACCAAAGGCCCGCCAGGCTGTAACGACCACGGCTGGCGGCACAACGCCGGCCAGCCGGCCGTCCGGCGCAACAGATACCCGTTGCAACAAATGCGGGCCGCGGTGGCGGCATGCGGTGCCACAGGCACGGCGTTTCGCATGCGGACGGGTGGAGCGGGGGACGGCGGCCACCGCTCCCCGCTAGGCAGCCACTGGCGGCCCCTTTGTTGAGAGGCACGCCAGTCAGGGATGCCGCTGGCGGGGCGCCGGCGGCTCGGCCGACGCAACCGTCCCAGGAGAGCCTTGCTTGGCAGTCTAGTAAGCAGTCACGCTGATCAACCCCGCGCCAACCGCCGCGCTGACACAGCGCGGTTGGGCCGACGCCAGGGCTTCAGGGGTTCGGTGGCTGGCGGCGGCCGGGGGGGCCTTGAGGCTTGTCACGATGTCATCCGGGCCCGTGATGACGTCAGCAGGTCGGGCTGCTGCATGAGGGTCTCTAGGTACGACGTCACTTCATCAAAGGTGGGCCTGGAGGGGGGGGGCGACAGGGGGTTTGAGGGGTTGCGTGAGTGGCATGAAAGCCAGTGTGAGCGGTGAGCGGCAAGGGTGCGTGCAGCTTCTGCCAGACGTGCGCCGCCAGAGATTTGACTCAAGCACGTTGCTCCCGGCAGCAGCCGTCCACAGGGGTGGGCGCAGGCGCGGGCGTAGTCGCGGGCGCGTGCGCAATAGGGCAGACACTCATGGGGGTGCATCGTGGCGCCAGGGGAGCCCCTGAAGCTTTCGGCGGCCTTCTGCTTGGCTTCAGCGGGCTCTCCCTTGCGCCCAGGCACCCAAACACCGAACATTGTCTTGTGCGCACGCGTATGTGCCCGTCCCGCACCCCACGTCCCATCGCCCCCCACCTGGCGCCCGCGCTGGGGCTCCAGCAGGCTTCCGCCAGCGCCCTCAGCGGCCCCGCCACGCCCTGGGGCCAGGCGGGGCGCCAGTGATCCTGGACCACCTTGATGCACAGCAGGGGGGCCGGCAGCCCGGCAAAGGCGCGGCGCCCTGTGAGCAGCTCCCACAGCAGGATGCCGTACTGCGGGCAGGGAAAGTGTGTGTGTTGTGTGTGTGTGTGTGAGCGTGTGTGTGGGTGTGCTTGCGTGTGTGTGTGTGTGTGTGTTGTGTGTGTGTGTGCATGTGTTGTGTGCGTGCACGTGTGTGTTGTGTGTGTTGGTGGGTGTTCGTGCGAGATGTTTGGGGTGATCGCCGGCAGGGCGAGGCCGCTTCTTATGTGGGCAAGTGGGTTGTGCAAGGGGGGAGATCGGCGTTCGGTCGTTCCCGTGGCGCCCCTTCCCGACTGCCAGGCTCACCCTCTCCCTCAAACGCTCCTGCCAGCCCGGCCGTTTCCCGCCAGAGCGCCTACTGGCCTGTCCGGCCGCAACCCCAAACCCGGCAACCCCAACCCCTGGACCCTTGACCGCTGGACATTGGACCGCCAGGGGCCGCACCGAGTAGACGTCCGAGGCCTTCGAGGCGCGGCCCTGCATCAGCAGCTCTGGCGCCATGTGGGTCAGGGTGCCGCCGTGGGTGGAGGAGGCGTGGGTGGCGTCGGGGCCCAGGTGCAGGGCCAGGCCAAAGTCGGAGACCTGTTTGGGGG